AACTTCTTTTTAGATGCCTCGGAGGGTTGTCAGGAATTGTATCGGAACTAGAGGTTTGGGATGAACAAAGAGTTTGGAATTAAAAGAGGTATATCTAGTATGGGCCAAGTCTTCCACAAGAGGAATGTTGAGGTCTTCATCGATAATTTTATTTGCTACATAATAAGGAGCAATTAGGATTTTGGATTGTAAGGATTGGATACAGGAAGAATTTGATGTTTTGTAAAGCTTCAAAGCTCAATACCATATGTCCAAATGCGCCTGATGATGGTAGTGTAAATGAGTTTTATTTGTAGAATATTGGAAGTTTAGCGCATTTTTTTTTATTATTAATTTTTTTTTTCTGTTTCAGGTAACTATTTTTTTCCCTATCAATCGGTATAAATTTCACAGCTGTCTACTTAATGTAAGTAATCATTTCTTTCTTGCTATTTATTGGCCATTTTAAACGTCAAGGCAATAAAATGTCGATTTATTTCATTCATTTATTACTGTAATAAATTGAAGCAATTGATTTTGCTGTTACGTTCTTTTTTTTTATGGACATATTTAGATTTAATTATTTTTTTTACTCTTTTTTGATGTAATTTTGGCAAATTTACGCCCATGATTTGATATTTTTAAGAAAAAGATAACTATATAAAATTGATTTTATTATCGCTTAATTTTAAATAAAATAGTAAAATTAGTATTTTTATTTATTCTCACTAATATTTTAGTTCGTGCAAATTTTATAAAATCTTCAAATTCACAAAAAATTGAAGTATCGATACGAGATGCTAATATAAATATCAAGTTGCGATTACCGTTGCCGATGCCTCCTTGATAGTCACGACCTCCTTGTTTCCTTCGTTTTCTCGAAGAAATCCGCAATTATCTTCGCTTTCCCGCCTTAAACGTTTCTTTAATATGTTGTAATACCGCCATCAAAGGCAGTTCTTAACAAAACATCACTGTATTTTTTTTAATGCGTAGAATGCGTACTTTGCAGTATTATAAGAAGGACGTTTATCGACGGTTCTACATATCATGGGTGACCAATATTCAGTACGCAGTCAAGTTTTTAAATACCTTCAGTGCTCGAAACACGCCCTGATAATGAGCATCAATAAAAACGTTATAATGACTGCTTCCTGAATATTTATCACCCATTGTAGCGATAAATATCCATTTTTTAATACCCAAATACCCAATTGTACCCATTTCATTATGGTATAAAATTTTGGTTTATTATTTTCAATAATCAACCATTGTGATCGACCAAAAAATTCAAAAACTTAACCCTCTCTCAAAATTCGAGGTTTCACGTTTCACGATGGGTAGAATTCGAAATTCGAAAGAAAATTTTTTTGTCCGTCTGCGCATTTTCTCCGAAACTACTGGACCTATTTTTTTTTTCAAATTTGGATATAAAATCAGAGGTCACCCAAGGATGATCCTCCTTCATCGCTATTACTATCCGCCTTTTACTTTCAAAATGGTTGCCTAAAAACCTACGTTGCTATAGACTATAGCTCCTAAACCAATGTACCGATTTCAATGAAACTTCGCTATAGTCATTTTCTCGGCGCCCTTTAAATTTATCTAAATAACTTACTTCAACGAAAAGAAGCTGGAAAAAAAGTTACGAGGGATGGTAAAATTAAATTCCGAATTACTCAAACAGTATACACTTTTTTGTAGGTATTGTATATGGTTTTTTGAAAGTTTACGAAATTTCCTAAAAAAAAAAAGGTAAAATCGGACAATTAGGAACAAAGATATGGTCTCCAGTTTTTTTTTATATGTTCTACTCCAAATGTTATATCCTTTGTTTGGTTTTTAAATTTTGAAGTAATGCTATTTTTTTTTTTAACATATTACTATTGATTAAAAAAAACGTTTAGTTCAATAATTGGAATCTCCTTTTATTTATTTTTCTTTGTAACTAGAAAGGTAATGTTACTTTAGATGTATTATTGTTTGGAAATAATTAACCATTGTGAAATAATTTGCGTTTTTATAGTACTGATGTTTATCAAATATATCGAAATAGTAAATCCACGTATCTATAAAAATATATCGATATTTCATTATTTAGAGGGACTTTATATTTTTAATTTTTGAAAAAATAAGAGATATAAATATCGAACAATAGTATCGATGGATGTATATTGTATATAACAAGTTACAAGTTATAGCAAAACTTATAGAGTATATAACAAAACTGACTCTTGAAACCGAAACTTCGGCAATAATATAAGGATTTTAAAGAAAAAGAATGAGAAATTTATCCAAAAAACATTGATTTATTTTCTAAATCTCAATTAATATTTCAGATCCAGTTTTATTCATACAGATATATTTTTTTTATTTAAAATTTAGATCTAGAAAAACATAATTGTCAAGCAATGTGGAAAAATAGTTTAACTGTTTGTTGTATATAATTTACAATTAATTGGCCAAACAGAAAATATGAATTAAGGACCTCAAAACAAGAAAAATAATTCCTCTGAAGGTATGTCTACAAACGCTTTGTTAAGGAGATATTCACACCTAAAGATTTCCATTATCATGAATTGCAAAAAGTCGCTTAGTACATTTCGGATGAAACTGAAATTTTAAAAACGTTTTTGTGAATTTCGACCAAATTTATCGATAAAAAACATAGCAAGTGCGCAAATATGACGCAGTCATTTTTATGTATGAAATATAATTACGTCAATCGAACAATTTCCAGATTTTATAGATGGAAAATTCATCAAATTTTTAGGAAGTTGAGGTTATGAAATGTCATTTAATGACTTTTTTCAATAAAACGACGCTGTAAAAATTTTTATTACAGAATTAACATTCTATGGTACATTAAATTAATATATCTTAATTGCAATTACTTTGTATTATTCGTAAGCGCCAATTCTTTTTTTGTAATATTGGGCTTCACTGAATTATTTACTTGATCTATAAACATCATTAACAAATAACTGTTTATGTAATTAATTACTGACTATATCATGTGTTAGTCCGCTGTACAGACCCCTTTTCATCAAATTATTAACATCCGTCTGAATCTATATAAATAGTTTCATCTCATCGCAAACTACGAATACTATATTTACAAAAATTCTCTAAATTGGGGAGTTTTCAATCCGGTAATTGTTGAACTTGTTTATTTAAGCAGGTAATAAAAACTCGTAGATACCCATTTGCTTTCCACTTGAATTGTTAGATAATTTGACCACAAACTCGAGAAAATAGGTGGCCTTCAAAAATATTGAGCAGTTTGGAATGACCTACACCCCCAAAATGTCAAAATAACGACGTCTTATAGGCCATCTTTATAACCTGGTTATTTTGACAATTTGGAGGTGTAGGTCACGCCAAACGTCTCAATATTTTTGAAGGCCACATTATTTCTAGACTTTGTGTTCAAATTATCTTGAGATCTAAGTGGAAAGCAAATGGGAATATAAGAGTTTTTTGTACCTAATTAAATAGTCAAAGTTTGACGATCTCTAAATTGAAAACACCCTAATTCCAAGAATTTTCGTAAATAAAATATTTGTAAATTACGATGAGATGATGCTATTTACGAAGTTTCAGGCGGATGTTACTAATTTGATAAAAAGGGTTTTGTACCACGAAATATGTGTATATAAGCAATTAAGTATCTCTATTATGAATTATTGACTATATGGTGTGTGCGTGATTCAGTTAGGAAAATAAATTGGCGAACTTGATCTTGAAAAATCACCCACGCGAATCGATAAATTGAGGAGGGGGTTGTCTTGGGAACAAAGCTTGCTGTTTTCATCTGTTCATTAAAAATACTTAAAGCCTGGATAATGACTTAACATTGTTTTGTTAAAGAATATGTAAATATTTTTTTCAGGAGATTAAACAAAAAAACAAACTTAAAATAAGTTAAAGGAAGGAGATGGTCCGGGGTTGCGGTCATAAAAAGGCTAAATAGTGGTAAAACTATTTTATTGAAAGCCAACGTTTCGACCCGACTTTGCAGGTCTTCATCAGGGCTAGAATTTCCCTCTCTATACTTTTAAGTTAGCTCTGCAATGTATGTATGTTAATGAAGTTATTTCTATATTTACATTTTACTTTTTACCAATTTTGTGATTATTCACATTGTACTCTGATCTAGAATCATGAAATACCTCTCACATCTCTCAACTCTATTTTATATGTATAGTTATATATTTATAATTCAATATTTCATAGATATAGTATTTTTCCATTGTATCCATCCATATCTTCAAAAATTCCTAGGTACTGTACATTCCTGGGTTTTTCAATGTTTACTTAGTTAACACATGTTAACTCCCCCTATACCTATGCAATCCTTACCGCTGCCTTTCCAGTTCTAAGTGAAACTCCTAGAGGAACAAACCTGTAAGTCTCTAATTTTATTTTTTTCTCCTGTAGATTTTGTAGAATTATACTCACATTTTCATTTGTTATATATTACACTACAACAATTGTTAGCATCTATTTACTTTATTTTAGGATCTTGTTACTCAGCTTACTTAGTCCATATTTTATTGTACTTACTGTTTATAATTCTAATAAGCTTATTCACATTCTTTATAAATTATGTCTAAATATTATGTAATTGCCACAATTCTCTATCTCTTTGTATCTTGTCCGTTCTAGCCCTGATGAAGACCTGCAAAGTCGGGTCGAAACGTTATCTTTCAATAAAATAGTTTTACCACTATTTAGCCCTTTTACGACCGCAACCCCGGACCATCTCCTTCCTTTATAATGCAACGGTCAACTATTAAATATTCAATTAAAAATAAGTTACTATAAACTCTCTACCACCCCACCAGAAAAGATATTTATGTATTGAAAACTTTGCTTTCATTTGAAGCCTCTACTAATAATAATATCTATATTAAATTTCGAAGAATTGATACTTAATAATTTTTCGACCTGGATCCATAAATAATTGAAAGTAACTGATATTTTACATTTGTTAGCCTTGAATTATGCTCGTTATCCCGCTATATCGCTGGACTCCATGACCTGGAAACTGGAGACATCTCGTTCTCATGGCGAGGCTTTTCAACTTGAAGAAAGCAAAGGCACGTTCGTGAAAGACGCACAAGGACGTTGAAATCGAAATAACGAGCTGGCTTAGATATCAAATTACAGATGAAGACGGTAGGAGGCTGAAGGGAAGGATAGGAAGGACGAAGGATGTCCATGGAAGAAATGAGTGAGTGCAGCCTTGCATCTTTCACTGCTCCGAGGTCGAACTTACCGTTAGTTTGCCTCTCTCCTCGTCTGGAGTGGGAGGTTCAGCTAGATTGATATAATGGCGTATGTGTACAGTTTCACGGGAAGGTTCGTCATATTAGTATTATAATTTTCGTAGGTAGATTTTTGGTAACCTAGGAAAAAAAAAAACTTAGTGTTTACCGATCCACTACCCGCTCAAGTTATGACCTGTTGAACTCCAAAGTAGGTTACTAAGGGAGAGCACATATAAAAAGTTAACAAATATATAAAACAATGTTGAAACAAAACCCAATTTAATAATTGTTAAATAGTGGTTAGATGATATTTCATAACCTTAACTCACTAAGAAGATCTCGACCTTCTGACCTTTACATCCCTTCTTACAGATCTGCCTCATTTTAAAACTCCTTTATTTCTCGCGCTGTCAATTTCTCATTAATATTCCCCCTCTATATCCACATTCAAAACCCCCCCAAAAAAGTCAGATACTAAGCTTTTGATATTATACATTTCTGTTGTATCATTCATCATCAAATGATAGTATTATTCCATACTATAAAATTCACTTGGGATATTACAATATTTTTCTACTCTTAATACCACAGAATACATCTATTGTTTGTTTTTTTATTCTTATACAATTAAATCTATGCCTATAGTTACAATAAGATAATGATGTGTTTACATATTATTTATTATTTAAATTCTCTGACATTTTATATAGTTAGATTCTTCGTTTCTTTGTTAGCAGGAACACAGAGCTTATTTTAAAGAAAAACTCAATGTATTATGTATTTTTTCCTCCTCAAAAGTGTATGTTTTGTATATAGATACATTATTTTTTTTTTTTTTGTATATAGCTTTGTTTAACTAATATTTTCTATAATCTCTCTTTTTTTGTTATTTTTTATTTAGGACAGATGTAGTCTTTTCTTTTTGTACAATTTTGTTATTCTTTTTTTTTTTTTAAATTTCTTTATTGAGTATTATAACAATCTGTCTGTTGGACATTGGTTATAGTGAGGTAGGATGACATTCACACCATATGTACAAAAAAATAAAATAAATAGAACAAAATAATAATCAAAAGTATATACAATAGACAATAAAATAAAATAACCTAAATAACCTTTCTTTTGTTATTCTAAAGGGGAATTTGTTCCAGAATAAAGTTGTTTTCTATTTCTATTTCAAAGTGCTTTGATGCATTTTAAATTTGTAAAATTAGATAATTGTGAGTTTTTTGTAACTATATTTGATGTATAAAAGACTTTGTGTCATTCTAGTGATTTTTTTTTTACATCGATAATCAGATCGAAATTCATAGAAACGTCTTTACGTGGCGATATCTCCTATATATATATATATATATATATTATTTTATTTATTGAGTAATACAACATTCTGTCTATTGGACAATAGATATAGTGAGATGAGACAACATTCATACTATATATACATATAAATATAAAATAAAGTGAAACAAAAAAATAATTAAAAATTATATAAAATAACTTAAATATAATTAATTTAAATTAAAAAGAACAGGTACTGAATGAGACAGCCGTCACTATCGGCTATGTAACGCATATTAGGTTTAAGTTGTTAGCTCGAGCCGGCGAATGTTTGGCATTCGGTTAAAAATATCTCAGATACTAAAAATCGGACCTGTATACTGTAAGTGGGGAAAATATTGAGTATTTCGTTCTCTTTGTAATGACATATAATTCAAAATTGCATTTTGTCATGACGCCAAGTTAGAGAGTCAGAAAGAGAAAAAGATCCAAAAAAAGGACAAAAAAAAAAATAGTGTTCCTCAGGGGGAGGGGAGGGCTATATTGGAAGATTGGAGCTGCGAACTATCACCAGTGGCTACACTGAGTTGAGGAAACAGTAGGAAGGTTAAAAAAATGGCGAAGTAACCATGTGTCCCATGTTGACACTACAATCTTTTATATAAAAGCCAACAGAACACTATGCCATTATTAGGATAAATCTCCACGAGCAGGTAACACATTAACTGATGTATTTCGCATGCATACTAAACTACCTTGTGTAGTTCAGTAATGAGGGTTCAGTCATTCTCATTATCGATTTCCTATCAACCTTATGAATCGATTGAAATAGAGAAATTATATAGTTGTTTTTTATTCATTGGGGATATCTTGCTAGGACGTAAAAGAATATGATACTTTCTGGAGGTTGACGTCTGGTTGGGAGTTGGACTATTTATTGCCTGTGATATTATTTTACCATATTTATTTTTCGAGCATCCTACTAATTATATAGATATTATATCCGGCATGCGCATATTGTTATTGTTATTTTGGTTATTTATATGTTATTTTAATAGATTTTTTTTATTAGTGAGTTTCTATTTATTGTGAATGTTAATATATTTATTGTAGTTACTATTTTAGTAGATTATATTTATTAACTTTGTATGTAATTTAGCTTATAAATATAGTTCCATGCATGTTGAACAACATAGTGTACTCGTAGAGGCTCAATTGTAATTGTTCATTATTTTTCCTGGCACCCGTCTTACAAATACTAATGACTGTTTTGAACAATAATGCACCACCCTTTCCCCTTATCCGGGAAAAAAACCATATAGCCTAAAAATTGTGGTGTCACAGTTACTTGTAGTTCTCATTAAATTATTCTTAATATTGCTTTCTCTCTTAAATTGTTTCTGAATATTTCCATATTTTTAAGTTCTCAGTTGTTACTAATATCCTGAAACAGCAGAACACCAATATATACATCTATGCGCTCATTTACAAAATGATTTTATTGTAGCGAATGGAAGAGAAAGTTTAACAATTGGAATTAGTTGGATTGAACCGTGGGAGTGGCCATGCTGCATTCCAATAATGGACTCAGCATTAATTGCCTACATTTTTGCATAACAGCGACAGGTCACTTCGAGCTGGGCGTTGCACATGTCATTAACACCTGAGGTAACGCTAAGAATCACTAATTATCGTAGCAGGATACGGTGGACCGAACTGGACCTTATATTTAATCATGGTGGTCTCTGCGAAGGACACGTCGTATAAAATAGATTCTCGACTGCGTTATCATAACTTCCCACTATTATTATTTTTTTAATAGCCCAAGATTTTTTCAGTTTTCATAATCGATATAAGTATATTAAAATACTTAAACGATAAAGATATGTCAGAAACAGTTTAAAATAGAAAATCTAAACTCTCTATTGAAAATAAAATACTTATCTAAAAGACAATACTGAAACCTACTTTGACTTACGGTCTTGAACTGTGGGGAACAGCAAAATTTTCTAACATCAAACGCATCCAATCCTTCCAATCCAAAGTCCTTCGAACAATAGTCGATGGTCCTTTCTATGTAACAAATAAAACCCTATATCATGACCTTAATATCCCATTTCTCCTAGACCTTATCGCAGCAAAATTCATCAAATTTCACCAGAACCTTACCCATCATCTAAATCCCTTTGCACAATCTCTATCCAGCACCACCCATCCCTATAATCCTCCAAGGAGGTTAAAATGGCTGTGGCCCCGCGACCTTTTAAGTTTGTAAACATTATTTGTAAATATTGGAGTTATGGCAATGGCTAGATTCTCCACTTATTTTTAGGTTATTTTATTCTTATATATTGTATATACATATTATTTTTCTGTATAATTTATTTTATTTATTGTACATAGAGTGTGAATGCGATCTGAGAACACTATTATAAATGTCCTTGAGAAATATTGTAATATTTTTCAATAATTTAAAAAAGAAAAAAAAGAAACAGAAATAGTCCGTAGTACAGACCCCTTTTTATCGAATTATTAATATCTACCTGAAACTTCGTAAATAGTTTCATCTCATCGTAACCTACAACTATTTTATTTACAAAAACTTTTGGAATTCGGGAGTTTTCAATCTGAACGAGGGCAAACTTTATCTATTCAATTAAGTACTAAAAACTCGTAAATACGCGCTTGCTTTCTACTTGGATAGTAAGATAATTTTATCACAAAGTCGAGAAACAAGGTGTAATTCTTTCCTCAAATAAGCGGGTGGTTTAATCAAATATTGTAATACACTATTACATATTTAAATTGACATAGTTGGTTGATCGATGTCTTTTCTAATATTCAATTTAACTTCGTTCAAGTTATTATTAATAACTGCTCTGTGTATTTAATATTACTGTTTTTGTTATAGTTTTTAATGGTGTATTCTGTAGTTTATAAAGTTTTATTCACTTGCATAGTCCACCATGCTTACTTTAACGCACAATTAGAGTGTGTCTGTCAAAATCTGTCAAAAAGGACATAATAAGTAGAAATAGAAATAAAAAAATAAATCATCTTTATTCTGGGACTTGGTCCATTAAGAATAACAACATTGTTCATACAAATTAACAATGAATCTGGGCGATATAAATATTACAATAAAAAATGCTTAAAATATAAGTAATAAAATAAGTATATACATAGCTCTGAGGTTATATTAACGAAAGCAGATTGATATTATGGTTACAATATTATAATATATTAAGAAACACTACATAAATTTTATAGGCAAACTATTGTAGTATTAAAATATTTAAAAAAATTACTAGCGTAAATAAATTATTTACATCTGTTCCTTAAGAAGTTTAAATGAATACACATAAATATATTGTGAAAAAATAGACAAGTATTGTGATTTATCTATGCAGCTACGATTACGAGCAGAAAAAAATTATATATTCATATATAGGTACACACAAATAGGGAGGAGTTTGTAGAAGATAAGTAAAAAATTAAACAATTTCAAAGCAATACAATCTTATGAATAGATAAGGTAGAAGTTGAGAAAAAAAAATTATAGCTGCTCACAATACTTTGCATGCTGGTTTATCCCAATAACCCAAACGCTACCAGAGTATAACGTACTTGAATTGTTCATTACGTTAATTAGTATATTTTTTAATCGTCGGTTAAACGTTCAACTCATTATTAATAATTGCTCTGTATATTTATTTTCTATTTATCTGTAATATGCGAAATGACACTGCCGGAAGGATGTCGCATTTATTTTTAGTTTGATGCTATGAATCGGAAGCCCCACGCAACGTGAGCTGTTTCCGTTTCAACGCCACGGTACTATTGTCATCATACGTGATTAAAATTATAATCGAAAGGTATTATATTAATTATGAATCGTATTACAAGATATCATTACGGCATTGGTTTTATCACTTTCAGATATGCTAAGTTTTTTTTTTTTATTTGTTTTAGTTTGTGAAGATATTAGATTATGGGTATATTACAATATCTTCCTGCTCTTAATGCCACTGAATGCATCTATTGTTTGTTTTTTTATTATTTGTTATTCTTACATAATTAAATCTGTACCTATAATTAGAATTAGACAATGATGAGTCTACATATTATTCATTATTTAAATACTCTGGCATTTTATATTGTCAGCTTTGTCTTTCCTTTGTTAGCAGAAACACACCTCATTTTAAAGAAGAACTCAACGTATTTTTTATTATTTTATTTTTCAAAAGTGTATAATTATAATTCTTCCTACTGTACATAGTTTTAAGTGTTTTGCATAAAGATCTTTTTTTTTTTTTTTGTATATATCTTGTTTAACTAATATTTTATTTACTTTCTCTTGTTTTATTATTGTTTTATTTTGGCCAGATGTAGTCGTTTAATTATGTTCTATTTTGTTATTCTAAAGAGACTTTGTCCCAGAATAAAGTTATTTTCTATTCTATTCTATATTATGGTTGATTTATACTCCTAAATTTATTTACCACTTCTGGTACAATCACAGTGAGGTCATGTGTAATGTGTTAACATGGCCGTGTTACAGAGAAATATCGTAGTATTAATATTGATTTAAATTTCTTTTATTTAGCAGGAGATAAATAATTAGGAAGCAGTCATTTTTGTGATTCCTTTTTGTTGGCAACGTTTCAATCCAAACATATGGGTCATCATCGGGACATACTTTTCAAATTTTTAAAAGAAAAAAAAATAACCTAAACAAAACAAAGATAAATAAAATACCTGATTATAAATTGAACAACATTAGCGGTAAGTTCTGTTTATATTTAGTTTTACGTTTTTAGATTTATGTTTGAACCCTTTGTCTGAATACAGGAGAAATGTGGACAAGCTAAGCTACTACACAACTATACTTATTATAAATGTAGAGATAAATAAATGGTTTGGATGATCAGTAAAAAAAAAAATTAATTATAATTATTTTATTTTTGCCGACGTTTCGGCCCAAAGTTGAGGCCTTCATCAGCGCTGGTCAAACGCATACTTGTAAATGTTCATGTTCGCCATGGCTTGAATAATGTGTAAACGTGACTTAACAGGAATTTATAGTAAACAAAGGAATATAACGCGCTGACAATAACAATAAAGCACTTATTGAAGGAAGTTATTCGAATGTACTTCATTCATCACAGGAGATGAATAATTAGGTTGTAGTCTTTTAGAGATATTTCATTATTGCCGACGTTTCAACCTAAACATCATGAGGGCATGCTTGCTGAAGGCGTTCAAGTACTATTTATCTCCTACAATAAAGCACTTATTTATTTTTATGCATTTGTTGATACAAATTTGCAAAGTTTAGAGTTAGGAAAGAGATATTTCGGTAAAACTGTTATAAAAAAAAACACTTAAAATAGTGGATATTGTTTTATCAATCCTATGTTTCGACCTAACTTAACAGGTTATCTTCAGGACTAGAACTAACGAAATACACATTTCGACGGGATTTTTGAATTTTCGGAATGAAAAGTTTCAGGCTAAGGGACAAAGTGAAACCCTGGAACAGGTAGCAGGAAGTGCAATTATATATGTTTTACGATTTTTCGAATTCTACCTTCCCTTGCTCTCTTTTAATAACAGGTGGGTAATAAAATATCTTGAAAGTGGAAGGTAAGTCTTTGTGACACCTATCTGCGGGGAGGGGGGAAGGTAGGTCTTTGTGATACCGATCGTGGGGGAGGGGGGCACCCTTGGTTTGAAAGTAGATTAAATTAAATAATTTTCACTATTTTAATTTTTTTTTTTTACTGCAATCTCAGACCATCTCTCATATCATTATAAATCGATCAATTATTGAGTATTCAATATTTAAGATGGACTGAACTCTTTTTTGCATTATCCTCTAACTCTGGACCATTCAAAATATTATTGAGGAACGAACGGGAGCATTTCAAGAATTGGGAGGATATAGGAAGTGTCCGCCCTCTCCCGTAGGGATCAGCCTATCCTCTTTTTTTACTTCTTATTGCTCCATCATCTTCTCGCGTCCTCTTCTTCTTTTCGCTCCAGACCTCTCTCAGACTCCAGACTCCACAGATCTTCCAGGACCTTCCTGTTCCCTGACGGCGGGGGCCGGCCCAGAACACCCTTGACATTTGAGCCACGCCTGGCTCCGCCCTCTCTTTCATAACCAGTCCACATACCTGCCTACCTGGACCTACCTGGACTCACCGTTCACTTTCCAGGCTCTCCCCCCCCCTACCTACTTCGGCGAGGCACTTCTGGCAAACTGTATCGGGGTCGCCGGTGGTTCGTAGTGCTGCAGCCTTCTAGGAGGATCTTGGAAGACGTATCGTGTAGTTCAAGCATTGAAGAGGAAAAATGGAGGTAATTCTGACATTAATGTAATAGTGATTCGAAATAACCTATTCAAAAAACTAAATAGATATTTTAACTATTATAAAATAGAAATTATACATGTTGGTCTAGAAAAGTAAAAGTGTGTCGATCTTAGCTGTAACTTGATCTTATACTGTATAAATTTCTCTCTTTCTTCTTGTGTGTGTTCATACAAAAATCAGTACTTATACTTGAACATCTATTGTGCTGAAAACGTGTCCTAATAATAACCCACAAGTTTGGACTGAAACGTTTACAATTAAAAAATCCCAAAATTATTCGAGTCCTAATCATCTATCTCACATATGTAGAAAATTTCGAACTTCCTTAATTTTTTTATTCTAACTATTTACTTTTCAACTCTGACTTATTTACTTTTAGCTTTTAACTTTTTACTTTCAATTCATTGGTTCAGAAATACCAAAAACAAAATTATCAATATAATTTTTTTATCGTTCGTATGATTTAAAATATTGTAATTATAAGTAAAATAATTAATAAAAATATGTTTTAATATAACATACATGATATAATAAGGCGAAACATAAAAGAGATCAGCTGACCAAACATATCGTTCGGTTGACAGCCACATGGTGGGAGCTCCACGTGGTACAGTGGAAGTGACTGGTTATTGTATATATATCTATTCGTATATATCCCTACATGCATACAGTTTTTATAAATTTATTGATTTACATAGCGGATTTTGTTTTCTTATTTATTGAATATTAATCTGCCACACTCAATGGCAATAAGCATTAGATCTAAAAGTATCCACCCATACAATATATACATAAAATAATAATAAATATGAAAGTAACTAAGAACAAATTAGAAATAAATAAAACGATGTGATTAAAAATTAACAAACAAAATATAAAATAAGTAATAATAAATAAAGTATACTGATTATTATAAAATAAGACTGTTTATTTTTTCACCATATTTATTTTAATTTTCATAGCTACGTTTCGGCCGGTAAGCCATTTTATTCAACCATGCTTTTTGCATGTAGTCCAAAGTCTAATTAAATTATAAGTGTGGTTGTGAGGTTGCACATCGTTATATATTTCTTTATACTGCTCACTTATTAAAATACTGATTATAGTTAAAAATATATGATACACAAATTGAAGGATATTTATAAACAGTTAATAGTTAAAAAATCTATTGATAAAAAAACGATAGTTATAGTAGTAAAAAAACACGATAGTGTAAACCCGAAAATTAAATAAATAAATAAAATTCTTCTAAAACTCGTTTCACACCTCTAAAGAATATTATGACAGTATTAATGTTTAGAAGTAAATCTAAATGAGTTTAAATAAAAATAGTACTTAAAATGTTCTAGTAAAGAGAAAATAAAATAAATAAATTTTTCACGTATTACCAACAAGTATAAATATAATAAATATAGTTTTGCTAATTAAATTTTAAAAAGTTTACATTTAAAATCTTAAAGATATTTTAAACTAACAGAATTAGACAAACTTTGAGAAGAACTAAATTAAGTTTCAACAAACATACCAAGTAAATAAAAAAAATATTCAGAACTATAATTCTATATACATATACACACACAATGTATACATATATACAATATATATGCAATATATATATACATCTAAATATCAAATAATAGTTATGAAATAACCTTTTAACAAAACACAATATTTATGTGTTGCCCTTTCCTGTAATTATGTCATTTTTAAATTGTCTTGCAATTCCCATCTTTATTCCTTTGTTAAGAAATAATTACCTTTTCTGATAAAATAATTACTTAAATATTTAATATAGAAAGTACTATTATTAATATTTAATATTAATAATTAAATAATTTAATAATTCGTAGTTATTAATAAATAAACGTGATTATTTTTTTTTTTTTTTGGACCTTTAAGTTTACGATGTAAAATGCTTCTTATTATTTCCAAAAAGATTTATTAATTTACATTTTGTTTATCTATAACGTTCAGTGTTATTTTAGCCATTTTCAAATATTTCTTTTTTATACTATTTACCATCTAAATTTAAAAATAAATGTCGAAATGTCACAAATGTATAAAATAATATTTTTTAAAGAGAAGTTGAGTTATTTTTTATATTATTGAATAAAAAAAATACCAAATATAACATTAAAAAAATTCGTAATTCGATGAAAAGTGAAAATCACACATTAATGTTATATTGAAACGTGATATTCTTGAATTTTATTCTATTTACCAATTATTCATGTAGTGTAGGAAATAAAATTAAAGCAATGTTTTTCACCTAGAATTACATGGAACAAAACATAGATTTTTTTTTACTTACGTGTTATTGTTTATAAATTATTTTTGCCGTATATAGATTTTGAATATTCATGTTAGAAATTAATCCTTAAATTAGCATTAAAGTAGTTTTTAATCTATAATAAAACGTTGGAAATAGTTCAGCACATGGTTCATTGCTGAATAAGCGAAGATGGTTCATAGGCGATAAACTGGCGCCAAATAGGGAGGTGTATTCGACATGTGTTCCATTGATAACTACTGTCTACTATCAGCTGATGTGTTAACTGTATCTTGTTTAATTATAGCCGTGTAACATGATAGTAGGGGTATATAATTATATATATTTATACTTTTTCTTTCCTTTTTTAAGTATGTTGAGGTCAAGACAATAATTAAGCAACTACGTTTTAGCAACTTTTCTAACATTCTTCCCCATTATAAAAATAAATAATAATAAATTAATTTTTTATATATATCTATTTTATTCCAAAGGTCACCAAATATAAACAGTTTTTTTATCTCATGTATTCTTTATTCAACGTTTCGGCTTCAGGAGCCATTTTCAAGATCCTGCAAAACTAATTTTAATTTAGTTTTTACCATTCAAATACATCGTTATCAGACACATATTATTTAACAACCTATTTTATGGCGCGGTGAATGGTAGGTGGATGATATAAATTTATTCAAAATAAATTTTGGATTGATTGTATTACTTATGGTTGTCAAATAATATGTGTCTGATAAGGATGTATTTGAATGGTAAAAACTAAATTAAAATTAGTTTCGCAGGAAACTAAAGTTTTGCAGTTGAATAAAGAATACAGGAGATAAAAAAACTGTGTATATTTGGCCATCTTTGGCCTAAAATAGATATATATATATATAAAAAATAATGAGAAAATGGCACCAAACCTGAAGGATGTGACTAGAAAAATAATAAATTGATTTTTTGACAATGTTTTTTCCGAAAATAGTTCTTAAATTCTAAAGTGAAAAACGATTAGAAGTGACTACAACTATTAAATTTTATATAAAGTCCCTGATTTTCTTCTTCTTCTTAAAGTTATGGAAAATTGGCTCTCCGAACAAATACAAAAATGTAACTTATATGGCACAGATATGATTTATCATAATTGATCTGTTTTTTCTTAATTGTTAGTAATAGTCCGTGATACAGCCCTATCGAATTATTAATATCCACCTGAAATTTCGTAAATAGTTTCATCTCATCGTAACCTACAAATATTTTATTTACGAAAACTCTTGGAATTGGGGCGTTTTTAATCTGGGGGGGAGTAAACTTTATCAATTTAATTTGGTACTAAAAACTCGTAAATACACATTTGCTTACTACTTGGTCGTAAGATAATTTGCTCAAAAAATCGAGAAAAAAGGTGGCCTTCAAAAATATTGAGCCGTTCGACATGACCTACACCCCCAAATTTTCAAAATAACAAGGTTATATAGAACTAAAGGAGTAATATTTTACTAGACCACCTTTTTTATATCAATTTTGTGAACAATTTATCTAACGATCCAAGTATAAAGCAAATGGATATTTACGAGTTTTAATACCTAATTAAATAGACAAAGTTTGGTCCCCTTCAGATTGAAAATGCCCCAATTCCAAGATAAATAAAATAGCTAGTTGTGGGTGGCGATGATATGAAACTATTTACGAAGTTTTTTTTTTTTTTAAAGGTACCTATACATTTTCTTTATTGTTGTAAAAATTAGATTGTGGGAAATACCTCTTTATTTCATCGTATTATTACTTATTACTGAGTTTTACAATTTTCTCGAAAAGAGCTCTAACGATTTTGACCTAGTGTACAATTAAGTGGATTTTAATATCAGGGAAATCTTATCCTCATTGATGCAGTCTGACAGACCCAAATACCGAATTTTCAATATTCTTGTAGTAGTTTCTCCTAAACTTGAAATAATTAAAAATTTGTATTTTTTCCGAAAAGTTCAGAAAACTAGTATTAATGATGAGATGAAACTATTTAACAACTTTTAGGCGGATGTTAATAATTGCATAAAAAGGTTTTTGCACCACGAGCTATAATATTTATTTATTTTTTAAAACAAATTTATAGATTGAAATAAATTTTTAAAACAGTTTATAGATTCGGTTAGTGAATTATATTTTGGTTCCGTTTTAAGATTTAATGTTATGTTCTCATATTCATGCTTTACAGTTAAAAAACAAAACACGTTTTTAAAGAAATTTTTGATCACTAAAATGCGAACAATCATTTAATTCTTATACTCGATTTTCGTTTATTTATATAACTACATTGCTAATCCAAAACTTTTAAATTTAAATTGAAAATAATTAGAGTCCGTCCATCTGTTCCTATTTGACAGACCTTAAAAGGCGAAGTAATCAAGTACATTAAATAAATTTAATCAGGTATTTTATATTATTTTATGTAGAAATAAATCAAACTGCATATTCGAGATGCATTTTCTTAATTAGTCCGCAAGCTAAAAGTTGTCAGACTTGATAACCGGTATGAA